TTTAGTAGAGACGAGGTTTCATCATGTTGGCCAGGTTGATCTTGAGCTCCTGGCCTCAGGTGATCCACCTGCCTTGGCTTCCCAAAGTGCTGGGATTATAGGCTTGTGTCGCCACGCCTGGCCAACAAACTAAATGAATGTTTTCTTATACAACAGGTCTATATGTTTTACACAAATGCTGACAGTTGTTGCAACCTCTAAGAATCATACCTGACTTTCGTTTTCTTTCTCTTGACCTTGATCGTGATCTTGAATAATGATGTTTTGAAGCTCTAGGAGAAACAGATACATCTGACTGCTCTTTTTTCTTATCTCTATCTGGTGATGTCTTTTCTGGGGCTAGTCCATCTCGTTCTGTATCACTAGCCTAAAAGTTTAAAGACAATGATTAAAGTTCTTAATTACATTTAAAATGTTTTCAATTCCTTAAAAGAAGAGGGACAAAGGGACGGAAGACAGCCCCCGTCTAATCAATAAATCAGAATGGCTGCTTTCCAAGTAGCTAAATATGCTTTGTACACTAATAAGCCTGAATGACTTGAAATGATGAACCTGATACCAAAGCGAGACGTACATTAACTTTCTAACGATTATTTTTAGAACTTTTAAAAGGCGGTTAGGAATGAGGGCTCCAAGTATTTCAAATAAACATTGAAGCAGAGAAAATATAGTCCTTTTAGATGTGTGAACACATTCAGCTGTCCTTACCAATACTTTTCTCTTAGATTAGCATACATGTAAAATATTAAAAATGTGTTGTTAAAGCATAGATACTCAAGACCATAAAATCCTAAAAGAGACAATGCCTCAAGAATATTATAAAATAATAAACAGAAAATTAACTTACCTATGTGAGAACCCCATCTTAATTTCATTAACCCTCTTTAATGAAAACAGCCCCTTGGCACAGTGCTGCTGCCAAATATGGTCTGCCTTGCCTCACATGTGCTCTGGGCTATGAAAACATTGTTTCTGCTTTAAAGCATTTTATAAGTTAATTATTACAATATAAGTTTTACAAATCTCAACTAATGCGGAAGGTAGACAATGGCTGGTTATCTGACCAGAGAATATGAAAATAAAATCATTGATACATCTGAGGAATTGATTACTTAAGAAGAGTTGGCAAGCTAAGGTCCTCTTCCAGTTTCTGTATGGCCTTCGGCTAAGAATGGTTTTCACGTTTTAAATAGGGCCATTAAAAACAAGCAGGGCCAGCACTGTCGCTCACACCTATAATCCGAACACTCTGGAAGTGGAGCCAGGCAGATAACCTGAGATGAGGAGTTCAAGACCAGCCTAGCCAACAAGGGGAAACCCTGCCTCTACTAAAAATACAAAATTTAGCCAAGTGTGGTGGGGTATGTCTGTAAGCCCAGCTACTCAGGAGACTGAGGTGGGAGAATGGTTTGAGCCCAGGAGGCTGAGGTTAAAGTGAGTTAAGATTGCGCTACTGCCCCCTCCAGCCTGGGTGACAGAGACAGTCTTAGGGAAAAAGAAAAAAGAAAAAAAAAAAAAACCAAAAACGCCAAAACAAAACCAAAAAACCAACCAGCCAAACAAAAAACAAGCTAGCAAACAAAAGAATGTGTCAGAGACTGCACAAGGCCCACAAAGCCAAAAATATTTACCATCTGGCCCTTTACAGAAACAATTACGGACTTTTCACTTAGAACATCAGAAAGAATCTGGATTGAATAAACAGGGAATCAAGATACAGTCTTCAGGAGGAGGAATCACATAATGGAGAACTTCTTCCCTTAGGAAGATTAGTTCGGAAATATCAAGTACAATAAATGGGGGTATTGTATTTTAACAAAGCAGGTTGTGAGAGGTCGCATTACTTCAAGTATGTACTGAGGGTCAAAAATGTGCCAAAACCAATGCTAAGACTTAGGGAGTAAAGCGATAAATAAAACAGAAAGGATTTACAGTTCAATTGTGCTGAAAGACATAAATTATGTGTTATTACTCTAACAATGGTATAAAAAGAACAGTAAGAAATAAAGTAACTACCATGGAGGCTCTCATGCCAGCATACTGTATATGGACTTATTTCTTCAGTCTGGGTGACTTCTGGAACCATAAAATTTTTATGCTAAAGGTTTTCATCCCTTAGAATAGAGTTCAACTTCCTCATTTCCCAGATGAGACCCAGCAACATTAGCTGACTCGCTTAAAATGATTCTCCATCTCTATCTCTTTGTTGTTTTTATTACTAATGATACTGTATCCTTAAGGATGATTCTGATTTTTTCCACAATGAATACCAGACATTTTAATATATATTTTTCCTCACCTCATCATTATCCTTAAGGACTATTTCAGATTCATCCATTACTTGCTAAGTACACCTCACACTTGGTAAACAGAAGCGATCTCAAAAATTTTTAGCACCGCTATCACTTTCAGTGCATGACAATTTACTGTCAGAGATAGAATTCCTCCAAGTACTGGCAAATCCCATTTACTTTTGCAGAGAACAAGACTAGAAGTGAAAACAACCTTCGAATATAAAAGCTAGTGCTTAGCCTAGGCAGTAGCTGTCAGGCAATGGTTTATCTAACGTTATGCTTAACATCACAAAGCTGGGCAACAGAGAAACCACTCTGTGACACAGGCTAACTTAAACTTACATCAATCATTTTCATCTGTAAAATATGCTATGGAACAACAAAAACCGCCTTAAACATGAATGATAGGTGGCCATTGAGGCTATGGAAAACTTTTCTTTCCCTGAGGAAATCTTATAGCAGCATAACGCAGGTATCCAGGAAAAAAAAAAAAAAAAAAAACGACTGAATATTAAAATTGCTCTGAAAATTTCTAAGCTTTAATTTAGTACAAATCTATGTGTATACGTCAAACGTTAACTGTAAAACAGACTTCTATTCCAGCACTGGCTCTAAGAGGCAGCCACTTTAGTTTCCTACAAATTTATATTTTGTTGCAAACACCTAATAATGGCTCGAAACAAAGTAGACAAATCTTTCTCCACTACCAAGGAGGTAAGCACTGGATTGAATACTAGGCCACTTCTCCAGGGGATTGTCTTTTTATTTAACAAGGCACGGCAGAAGCAAATGCTTGAATTCACTTTTAAAAATACTGGAACCCGGGCAGGCGCAGTGGTTCACACCTGTAATTCCAGCACTTTGGGAAGTCGAGGCGGGTGAATCATCTGAGGTCAGGAGTTCGAGACCAGCCTGGCCAATATGGTGAACCCCCGCCTCTACTAAAAATACAAAAAATTTCGCCGGGCGTGGTGGTAGGCGCCTGTAATCCCAGCTAATCGGGAGGCTGAGGCAGGATAATCGCTTGAACCCGGGAGACGGAGGCTGTGGTGAGCCGACATCGTGCCACAGCACTCCAGCCTGGGCAACAAGAGCAAAACTCTCCATCAAAAAACAAAAAAACCTGGAACCCAAGAAAAATAGTATTATTCTTTAGTGTATACTGAGGCCCCAAACTCTATAAACAAATGAAAACAGTAAGTAAAAAAACTGGTCTAAACTCAACTAAATATCTGGAGGTGAGTGGGGGCGGGAGGAAGAAAATCATTTGCCTAATTCCACACGTTCAAATTGTTGGGAAGAGCAAACTTTAAAATTTTCACTACGTTTAATAGTTATAGTTATCATCAAAAATAAGGTATAATTTAGTCAGCAAGAAGAAATGCAAAATCTTTACATTTTCCTTTTAACAGAATAACTAGAAACGGAATAATCACATTGTAACGTGGATTCGTCAGAATTGGGCATCTTATACACGCGGCAGGCTTATTGTTCAAAGTAATCTACAAATTGTAGCTCGTATGGGGTCAAGAAGGTTTAAATTTAAAGGAACAAGGTCAGTGACAAAACTTAACTATAATGCTTCTCAGACTTCAAATTGATTATATCACGGGCCACTTCAGAAACCGCTCATCAGTCAGAATTGGTAGTAGTTCCACAACATTTTAAGTTGAATTTTCACTCCCTTTTAACAATACCTTCCTCTAGCTCATTACTACACAATAAATTAGGGCTTACACTGGCAAACGCTAATTAAAATTATGCAACTAGAAGCATCTCATTGGAGCGTACCAAAAAAAAAAAAAAAAAAAAAAAAAAAAAAAAAAAAAGAAAAAACAAAAAAAAAAAAAAAAAAAAAAAAAAAAGCTACAAGTCTCTCTCTTCTTCTTCCACACTATCCCTTACAGACACCCCCTTTTTGACTCAATACTTTTCGGAGACCACTCCTGAACGTCTCTTTCCCAGCCCCTTTCTCCACCGCAAATTCTCAGGCCCTAAAATACTCAGTATAAATCACTAGCCAGGGTGAATAAGCGAAAATGGAGAAAGTTCAGTGGGGCAAAAAGGGACGTAGCGTTGGAAAAGAGAAGAGGAAAGTTCTCGAAAAAAAAAAGGCACTCCCTGCGGCTCCCCACCCCCATCGACAGCGCCTTACTTCCCCCTCCCTACAGCAGGCAGCCATGATGGCGGGCGCAGAAGAAGGCCGCGGCGCCATTTTGTCCACATACACACACAAAAATAAGGCTCTGGGAACTGTTCACTCACTCTTTGGAAAGTAGCAGAAAAGTATCCCTGGCTTTAAACTCAGATTCGGTACCTACCGCCATAGTTCAGAGTCCCGGCCGCTAGAGCGGCGCCTACACTTGTCGCTTTCAACAGTACTGGCCGCTCCGAAGCTTCGCCTCAGACTAAATCGCAAGCGCGAGAGACCCGGATGGCACAAAGGCGAGGAAGCCCGGTACGTCGCACAGCTTGCTGGGAGGAAACAGGGCGGTAACAAGAGTTTCCATAACAACGCATTTCGAAGCGGTGATTGGGTGTTTTTCAAAGGGGCGTGTAAGGACAGCAAAGAGGGCGGGGCGAAGAATACACCCTAGGAACGCGCAGTCGGGAGAACGAAATGGGCGGAGCTCAGGGTGGGGCAACGTCTTATTTCGAGTCTAAAGTAATCTTGGTCTCGTCCGGCCGCCGTAAAGGGGTTGGGTCTAATGTTCTGCCGCCAATTTTAACTTGTGGGATGGAACCCAAAGATTAGAGGCGGTTGCGTGAGTCTGGAAGAGGGACGAGATACTTAAGTGTTCCTCTTTAGTTTCTTCACTTGCAGGTAAGGACGGGGAGCTGCGCTGTGTACGGAACTGGGGGTGCGTTCAGGACGAAGTAGCTGCAGCCTCTGCTCAGTTCCTTTTGTTCTCCCCTTGACGCCGGCAGGAGAGGTTGGTGTCGGTTTTTGCTGGCGGCGATGTCCGGCGGAGAGCGTTTAAGTGTGGAGGCCAAACTGACAGTGTTTCATCTTGCTGATTCTCTCCTATTCGCGCATCTATTCTGCATTTCGCCGCCAGAGTGATCTGAAAATACGTATCAAATCAGGCCATTCGTTTGCTGGGTTCTCTTCCCGCCCCCAACCCCTTGCACTGAGAATAAAATTCAGTCTTGAAGTCGAGGTTTTATTGGGCTTCACTGATCTCTCCCTCACTGTTTCCTGCCCTTGCTTTGACCCGGCAGCAGCGTCAAACGCTTCCGAGCCTCTGAGCCTTTGCACTGTTTCCTTTGCCTACATCGCTTTCCGCCTAAGCTTTGCATACTTCTTGTTATTCAGGGCTCAGCTCAGATGTCACCTTCCCTTTCCAAACAAATCCTTCAGCGACCCCTCACCTTATCTATCTAAGCACTGTTTCCTTAAAATCATTTGCACTTTTTGTAATTGTGCATTTACTTTTTTTTTAGAGAGGTAGCATAACAATTAAGATACCTACTATTTTATTTTTGTCCGTTTTTCCCGCAAGAACATAGACTTCATAATGGCAAAAAAATTTGTGCTTTGTTCACAGCTATATTCCCAGTTCCTGGAAAGGTGCCTAGCACATAATAAGTAGGTATTCAATAAACGTTTGTTGAATAAGTAAATTTGGCAGTTCTGGGCTGTTTCTCTATTTCACAGATGTGGGAAATTGAGATCCATAAAGGTATTGACTTCAAACTGTCCCTCCTTCGTTTCCTCTCTCTCACCCAAACACCAGCCATTAAAACTGTTTTCTATTCTCCAAACATGTTTTGTTTCTGTTCCCTTGTTTATGCCCTTAGGAAGAAGTCTTCCAACATTTAAAAAACTATGAACTTCAATTCTCAGCCCACGTGTTACCTGCTTCCACCAATATCAAATTAGCTAACACTTAAAACTGAATGTTTGCCATGAACCAAGCATTATTCTGTGGACTTTTAAAACTCATAACATTGGGAGGCTGAAGCAGGAGGAATGTTTGAGCCCAAGAGATCAGGGCCAGCCAGGGCAAAATAGTAAGACTCTCAAAAAATCAAAAGTAAAAAATAGAAACTCTTTCAGTTGGGTACAACTGCCTTAGTCCCTTGGTATTGGTATCCATGGGAGATTGGTTCCAGGACCTCCCACAGATGCCAAAACCCTAGGATGCTTAAGTCCCTGTCAAAAAATGGCATATTATTTGAATGTAACCTTGCAACATCTGCCTGTATACTTCAAATCATCTCTAGATTACCTATCTTGCCTAACACGATGTAAATGTAATATGTCTGTAGGTGGAATCTAGGGATGTGGAACTTATGGATATGGAGGGCCAACTGTATAAATATATATATTTTTTCCAAGATGGAGTGCAGTGGGGCAATCTCGGTTTACTGCAACCTCTGCCTCCCGGGTTCAAGCCATTCTCCAGCTTCAGCCTCCCGAGTAGCTGAGATTATAGGTATGCACCATCAAGCCCGGCTAATTTTTTTGTATTTTTAGTAGAGAGGGGGTTTCGTCATGTTGGCCATGCTGGTCTTGGACTCCTGACCTCAGGTGATCTACCCACCTAAGCCTCCCAAAGTGCTGTGATTACATGTGTGAGCCACCATGCCCTACCTGTATATTCCTATTTTACAGATTAGAGAATTGAGGAACGGAAAGATTAAGTGCTTACCCAAGGGCAACTTCCTAGTCATTGTGAAAAAGCACCAAGTCAGAAATTGTTTCTTCCCTGTGCTATCCCTCTTATAGCTATTGAAACATACTTCTAGTAGCACTTATCAAACTAATTGTAATTATGTCATTATTGTTCCCCACCAGTCAAGGATTATTTTTCTCCTTAGTGTTCTTTTCCCACTCAGACTCCAGATAAAATGATTTATATAAATCTTTGCTTGTTGAGATGGGTAAATGACCCTCCTTAGGTTTCAAGCTTAGTCTTTGGTCCAGAAACCTAATTATTTTTTTCCTTTCCCCTTACCATTTTTATTTATTGGATAAGAATACTATGATAGTATTAATGGACTTTTTCTGAACTTCATCTGAAATCTTATCCTGTGATATCTCAGACAATCTGGCATCTAAACCTACACTGTTTCCTGCTATATGGATTTAGCTTTTATTTCAAATGAAAACTTAGTATAATTCCAAACTAGACACCAAAGTAATGGAAGCTCCAGGATGCATTGGTGAGATCAGAATTGTTGGTCTGTGTGTGTAACCCAATACGTTGTTCTCTGGTAATCATCATAGCTCTAGTTCCATTTATGTTATTGGCTCAGAGTGTTTAGTGGCCATAGCAGTAACAAGAAGACAAAGATGTCTGTGTATGTTAATGTTAGGCTTTGGTTTTTGTTTTGTGAGTAAGCTTTCTAATTTCCCGAGGAACCAAGTTCCATGAAACAAGATAATTTGGCGTCTAATTTTATGTTGTTACAGGAAAGACAGTGGTTCCTGACTCAGGAAGACAGTCTCAGAAACATGTGGAATGATATTGAGCTGCTAACAAATGATGATACTGGAAGTGGTTACCTAAGTGTTGGTTCAAGAAAAGAACACGGAACTGCTTTATATCAAGTAAACTTGCTAATGAAGATCTCTTCTGAAAAGGTATTGATTATTACAGTTTCATTCACAGAAGTTTTACCGAGTGCTTAGTAGGCATAGTAGCCCACAGTAAATGTTTTGTGAATGAATGTAGCACTTGCTCAGGGAATCAAGATTCAGTCTTAGATTGCTAGAAATTCACATCGGAATACCCCCTGCATCATGTCAAGATAAGTATTTTCAAAACTCTTGATATTTCATGCATACAAAATGTAAGTTGATACAAAGAATATCCACCACTTACTTGGGAAATAAAATGCTACCAATAGAGTTGAACGCTCTGAGATTCATCCCTAACTCTGTGTTCCTCCTGTTGCCTACCAGAGTCAAGCACCCTGCTGAATATGAGGTTTATCCATGCATTTTTTTCTTTCTTTTTTTCTAGACTGCTCAGCAGGATTTTTTTTTTTTTTTTTTTTTTAAAGACAGGGTTTCACCATGTTGGCCAGGCTGGTCTTGAACTCCTAACCTCAGGTGATCCGCCTGCCTCGGCCTCACAAAGCGTAAGCTGGGAGGCTGGGATTACCGGCATGAGCCGCTGTGCCTGGTTTGTACTGCTTTTAATGTACCATGAATTGTGTTAAAGGCAGTATAGTCCAACAATAAAATAATTAATGTAAGATAAAGATTAACTGTGTTATGAGTAGTACAAATAAATCTCATTGTATTTTTTGGCATAAAATTGTTTATTAGAGGCAAAGATTTAAAGTATAGCACAATTTCTTTTTTTTAAATATTTTGAGTCCTTCAAGACATCTGAAAGCACAGTTTCTGTAATGAGGAAATGACGTGTTGTGGAGAACCAGCTCGGCTGGGAGACCCCCACCCAGGCAGGCTGAAGGTATTGAGAGAGGCAGACACCCAGATAGCCAACAGAGTGGATCTACCCTGGGGACCAACAGCCTGAGAGCCTGTGGGGCTTGCAGCTCTCCAGGACTGAAGGCCCCAAGCAGAGATTCATCCATGCTTTTATTTGCTCTTTGACAGGTGATTCTTATTAATACACAGTTGTTCTACATATACACGTAACTCAGAAATATCCCAGGTAGGCAGCTGTTACCCACCTACGACTAATTACAAACTACAAGGTATCCTCCACAAAGGAGCCATGGGGGCAGGGTAAACTTAATGCTTCTCAACAACATGTCTTTATTTTTTAGTATTTGTTTGATTCTTTCAAGACAGGGTCTCATTCTATAGCCCAGGCTGAAGTACAGTGACGTGATCTTGGCTCATTATAACCTCTGCCTCTTAGGTTCAAGCGATTCTCCTGCCTCACCCTCTGGAGTAGCTGGGATTACAGGCTCCTGCCACCATGCCTGGCTAATTTTTGTATTTTTAGTAGAGACAGGGTTTCACCATGTTGGCCAGGCTGGTCTTGAACTCCTGCTCAAGTGATCTGCCTGCCTTGGCCTCCCAAAGTCCTGGGATTAAAGACATGAACCACCGTGCCTGGGCTTTATTTTTTTTATTTATTTATTTTTTTTTTTTTGAGACGGAGTTTCACTCATGTTACCCAGGCTGGAGTGCAATGGCGCGATCTCGGCTCACCGCAACCTCCGCCTCCTGGGTTCAGGCAATTCTCCTGCCTCAGCCTCCTGAGTAGCTGGGATTACAGGCACGCACCACCATGCCCAGCTAATTTTTTGTATTTTTAGTAGAGACGGGGTTTCACCATGTTGACCAGGATGGTCTCGATCTCTTGACCTCGTGATCCACCCGCCTCGGCCTCCCAAAGTGCTGGGATTACAGGCTTGAGCCACCGCGCCCGGCCTGGGCTTTATTTTTTAATATTATCAGGAGGCTTAAAACATGGAAGCGGCTCAGGCCTTTCTTGACATCAAGGCTGCTGCTGAAAAATAATAGTGTGTGCATATATAGAGTCTTGGATTCTGTTAGGAACTAAAATTCTATCTATGAGCGTGGGGCATATACTTAACACATTTTGAACATCTGCTATGTTCTGAGCCCAATATTAGGCACTCGGACATAAGACGGCATCTTACTCATTCCTTTTAGGATCTTACCTTAATTTTAGGCACACAGCACACAAACAATTAAAGATATTTAGCTGTGCAGGTCAGCATATGCTAAATGCCAAATGAACAGTACAGACAGTAAATGTAGTAGGAATTCAGAAGATGGAGAGCTCATTGTGGGTTGGGCAGTTTAAAGAGCATTTTCTTAAGAAATTATGCGTGAGCCTGGTGTGGTGGCACATTCTGTGGTCCCAGCTCTTCAGAGGCTGAGGCAGGAGAATTGCTTGAGCCCAGGAGTTCGAGGCCAGCCTGGGCAACATAGGGAGACCACATCTCTTAAAAAAAAAAAAATTAAAAATTGACTGCACTTGCCTTGGGCCTTAAGACGGGGAAGAACAGACTAGGCAGAGATAACAGTGTGGACAGAACCCCAGAAGATATAGTGCCCTTCCTTTTTTTTGTTTTTTGAGGTGGAGCTTGCTCTGTTGCTCAGTCTGGAGTGCAGTGGTTCGATCTTGGCTCATTGCAACCTCTGCCTCTCGGGGGTCAAGCGATTCTCCTGCCTTAGTCTCCCCAGTAGCTGGAATTACAGGCATCCGCCACCATGCCCACCTAATTTTAGTGCCATTCCTTGGTAGCAGTGCCTTTGTGTAACCTTTTACTAGTTGATGAAGCAAGTAAAAGATAAGGAGGCTGGGCACATTGCCTCAACCACTTGTATTCCCAGCATTTTGAGTGGTTAAGATGGAAGGATCATTTGAGTACAGGAATCCTAGATCAGCCTGGCCAACATAGTGAAAACCCCATTATATTTAAAAAAAAAAATTAGTCAGTTGTGGTGGTGTGCACCTGTAATCCCAGCTACTTGGTTTGGGGAGGCAAGAAGATCCCTTGAGGCCAGGAGTTTGAGGCTGCAGTGAGTTATGATGGCATCACTGCATTCCAGCCTGAGCAACAGAGGGAGACCCTGTCTCAAAGAAAAAATGAGATAGAAGAGGGATCAGAATGTTGGAGAATTTTCAAGAATTATACCTGGAGAAGGTGACTTTTGAAATAGCCATAAAATCAGGTGATTAGCTGTATTTTGTCAGGGAAGAATAGGACTAGTTAACATTTATTGAACATATACTAGGTGTGAGGCTCTTTTTTTTTTAGATCGAGTCTCACTCTGTCACCCAGGCTGGAGTGCAGTGGCACAATCTTGGCTCATTGCAACCTCTGCCACCTGGGTTCAAGCGATTTTCCTGCCTCAGCCTCCCAAGTAGCTGGGATTACAGGCGTGCATCATTGTGCCTAGCTAATTTTTGTAGTTTTTAGTAGAGATGGGGTTTCACCATCTTGGCCAGGCTGGTCTTGAACTCCCGACCTCGTGATCCACTCACCTCGTCCTCCCAATGTGCTGGGATTAAAGGCATGAGCCACTGTACCCAGCCATGTGAGGCTCTTATAAGCTCTTTACATTAATTCATGTAAT